TTCTATTCTATTCTATTCTATTCTATTCTATTCTATTCTATTCTATTCTACTACTCTACTCTACTCTACTCTACTCTACTCTACTCTACTCTACGCTACGCTACGCTACGCTACGCTACGCTACTCTACTCTACTCTACTCTACTCTACTCTACTCTACTCTACTCTAATCTAATCTAATCTAATCTAATCTAATCTAATCTACGCTACTCTACTCTACTCTACTCTACTCTACTCTACTCTACTCTACTCTACTCTACTCTACTCTACTCTACTCTACTCTACTCTACTCTACTCTACTCTACTCTACTCTACTCTACTCTACTCTACTCTACTCTACTCTACTCTACTCTACTCTACTCTACTCTACTCTACTCTACTCTACTCTACTCTACTCTACTCTACTCTACTCTACTCTACTCTACTCTACTCTACTCTACTCTACTCTACTCTACTCTACTCTACTCTACTCTACTCTACTCTACTCTACTCTACTCTACTCTACTCTACTCTATTCTATTCTATTCTATTCTACTCTATTTTATTCTATTCACTTACAGTTTCCATGTTGTTCAGCACAGTAGAGTAGGTCTTCAAAATGTACCATATTGTACCCTTTCTCAGCACTTGCCATATCTTTATCGTTATATCCAAGATATTCAAGTCCCCTGTAAACCACAACGACAACAAATATAAATAACATGGAATATAGCCGTGTGGTTTATACTAATATCAATCACAAAAATCAAAAAAATGTAAGATGAGACAATTGAACCAGAAGCCTGTTGGCTAAAGCGAAGGAGTCGTCACCTGCGCATGCGTCAGATGGCCATAGCATGTCATTGTTTACAAACAAGTGTCTACCCATGAGCCTTTGTGTTTTTAGCATGTGTTGTTATCCCGCATGTGCACATGTAATGACTCTCTCGCTTTAATTAAGCCCTGCTTTTGCTCTTATAAATACTAACAGAAAATTCTAAAAATATAAAAACAGAAGAAATTAATTTGATTGTACATCTACAGTTTGCAGGCTTTGGTTTATTTAAAATCTGATAAATGTTTTTTGGGATATAAACAAATTGTCTACTTTATGCAAATTAGGTAATTAATATGCATATTTTCAATGAAATTTGATGAGTGGTTTTTGTGATAACTGTTGAAGGCTAAATTCAGCTAATTTATGCAAAATGGGTAATTATTATGCATAGATTTCAACCTAAAATAACCAAACTTCAACCTAAAATAACCAAGTATGTGGCTTATCTGAGAACAGTTACATGTAAGTTTCAAAGTGGTTCTTGTGATACATGTAACTGTTGAAAGCTAAATTCATCTAATTTATGCAAAATGGGCAATTAATATGCATAGATTTCAACCAAAAATTGTCAAGTGTGTGTCTTATCCGAGAACTGTTAAGTTTCAAAGGAATTTGATGAGTGGTTTTTGTGAAAACTGTAGAAAGCTAAATTATGGAAATGACAAGGTAATCACTGACTTCTGTGGGGTATCCTAGACCAACTACAATGTATGTGCCAAGATCTGTTAAGTGGTTAAGCTATCTATAGCATTGCCCTCATGTAAATTAGTTTTTTCAGGTCAGCAAACAGTTCAAATGAAAAGGTTCACTGGGTTCTTCCAAAAATATTGTCAAAAAGAAAAAACACTCCTCCAATAAAAAGTTATAGGTAATATAAACAGGAACATAATTCAAAGACAAACTTGACAATTTCATTATCAAAATGGTGCAATGTATTATTAAAATATATTTTTAAATTCTAATCTGAATTAAAGTATATAGAAATCAATAAAAATAAGAACATACGTGTACCTTGGGTCCATGCTGAGAGGTTTAAAATCAAGTTTATGTTTTGAACGAAATATAATATTTCTGGTGTGTATTTCGATAATAGACGGCGGCTGTAATGGACATGCTATAGTGAACAACGCCATGGTATTGTCTGGTAACATCACACCACTGTCGTCATGGCGATGATTCTGACCATATAAGGGTCTGAGTTTACCCGTGAAATGTAGTGCCTGTAAATAAAAAAAATAGTTTTTTTGTTAGTCTGGAAAACTAGAAAAATCATTCAACAATGGTCAGATCAAGAAAACATTCGATAAAAAAGCATATTTTGTTTGACTTATCCTTGAGTTAAGCAAGGTTTTTAAGAAACCAAATTGAAACTAGACCATTATAATAACCATAGTTGCTGTTTTTCCTCACCAGAAATCCTGAAGAGTTGTCAAGCAGACAGCGAAATCTTGTGACAAAATTTCTTATTGCATTATTAGACATATCTGAAATAAGAGAGAAATACAATTATACCAATTAAACAATATCTAACTGACCACCTTGCATCCAACTGCCATACCCACCCTGCTCTACAACTGTTCCACCCACATTGCCCCACAAATGCCAAACCCACCCTGCCCCACAACTGCCACAACCACCCTATCCTCCAACAAATCCTGCCTCAGCATTCCAACTGACAAACCCACCCTGCCGTTCATGCAACTAACCACTAACAAAACACCCACCCTGCACTATAACAGGTCCGCCCACCTTGCCCTCTAACCAACCCACCCTGCCATCAAACCGATCAATTAACCCACCCTACGCTCCAAGCCACCCACAATACCAGGATAAGGTTGCATTACTTTTAATTATACAATGTAGATCTAAAAATATTTGTAATATCTTAATAAATTATTAATATAGATTCAGCTCAAACACAAATATGCTAACCTTGTGCAGGAAGTGAGTCACCAGGAGTGATAACTTGATTGGCTCCTGATTGGTCAGAAGTAATTGTAAGGTCACCCAGCTGTCGACGAAACTCATTTCGGTCTTCGGTATGGATTATCTCAAATACACTCTGATTCATTACATCACTCTGAAATGTAACAGATCAAAATAATTATACTGTACCTTCCATGAAATCATTACACTATTCTATAATAATAATAATAATAATATGAGGTTATTACAAAAATACCTCAAAGTATGCACTCAGACAGTACAGCTGGAGTATCGATGCGTGGTATACTGTGTAAGTGCATGCCTTGAGGTATCCTCGTAATAACTCTTTTCCTTCCAAGAATACATCATGGGAATGCCGAAATCCAAAAAAAATTAGAACAGAATCAGCGAACTTCTTTGTGTGGAGTTTGGTCAGACCCTATTGGCAGCCATGTTTGTTTTTATTATTAGAGGACGCTTATGCGTGTAATCATTCCATATTTGGAATTTGCATTTCCTTATATGGTAGGATGAAAATACCCTGTAAAATATTACAAAATTATGGCATGCTGTAACTTACGGTGTTCGATGACAGATGTATAATAATAATGTTTATTCAACCTTTGTATCAACACCATGAAAACAGTAATACATATCTTTAAATTACATTCATCATTTCTTTTCTATAATGCCATAAATCAGTTGCATACTTCCTAATTAAAGCTGATGAGCTATTTCCCACATTCTCATTTATGTTCCATAGTGTATCATCAAAAAGGAAATTGAACCTATAATTCACCCCCCCCCTGAAAGAAAGCTATTTATTAGTGATGAAGATTCAAAAAATGTTCCTCAGTGAGGTTTCTACTGTTAAATAAAACTCATTTCTTATATGATTAGATGACCTACATTGTTACACTCTGCGTCATTGCACTATTTTCAAAAATGAAACATATGTCTCTCACTAAATTGTGTAATAAATAATCTGTAATTTTGGTTAATTTGCTATTGCTTTGTTCCTAAAACAGGTTTTATCTTGTGTTTTCTTGTACAGCGCCCCCAGCGGGCTTGTTCAACATCAGTCAGCCATTTCGCTGTTTCCTCCACGCTCTCTACAGTCACAATTCCGATTTTACACAACTTAATTATTATTATTAATAATTATTAACTAATTAAAGCATTTTACTGTACTTTACCTGATGGAACCCCAGGAAGTCATAAATCGTAGGAGATGCGTAAAATATAATGCCATCCGAAGATACGACTATCATGAATCCGTTCAGCGCCTGTCAACAGTAAAAGTTACATTAATTCAATAATGGATTTCATTATATCATTAAAGAAACCCAGCATCAAAGCGAGGTGATTCAGAGATTTGGGGAAAACACAGATTTAGAATGTTGCAAATCCTTTAATGTACACATCTTTGATTATACCTACTTGTAGTAATAGCTCTCCTTCACCGTCCAGACATGATCTGTTCTGAGGTTGAGTACTGATGGGAGGTACTTTGGTCTGGTTGCCATAGCAATCATCCACTGTAATAGCTTTGTTACTAACACCATTGCCACTAATTACAGCTGAAACATATAAAGTGGAAACCTATCATTAGTAAAAAAAATGTCAATCACATTGAACTTAATCTGATGCATGTACTACTATTGTTGGATCACCAATCAGAGGGTTAATTTGAAGATAATCCTAGTTGTCAAGTGGCTAACAACATGAAAACATAGTTGTTCAATGAAGAATTTATGATTGTATATTAAAGGGATGTGGTCATCACATAGTTTGTAACAAACAGTGTTAACAGGATGCGGCCAACGCCCTATAATAAAAAAGTTATGAATGTCAGTATTTCTCATATTTCAAATAATAAAAAAAATGTTTTCTAATGAACGCTAAAATTGTTTATTCAAGGTAGAGAATGACAGGAATAGGAAGGATATTAATAATACATGTACATGTATACATATCTATATGAATAAACGTATTTGCAGTGAAGCCTATCTATATGCTGCCACCTTGTGACTAATAAAATTTTTCTTTTGTTTTTCCCTATTGTGGTACCCTCTTGTGACAAAACACCTACCACATCATGTATGCTAGTCAGACGCATCTTCAGCACATACTGTACAATACTTTATTTTCGCTGGAATTAATTTTTGCTGAAAAGACATTTTTTGTGCTTTGTATGGAATTTATTTTCACTGATTTTTGACAAGTTGAATGTAAAATATAGAAAGAAATATATATTTGCTGGATTTAATTTTCCTGAATCATTACTTCAGTGAAAATAGCAAAAATTTATTTCAAGCAAAAATAAAGTATTCTACAGTAATATACATAAAAACGTGGTTTATCCATGTCAGAAAGCAAATAATCTGAATAAATTATCATTTAACAAGTCATTGAAAATGACACAGTCCCAGTCTCTTTGTGCTCGTCATATTAAAGCGGAGGGGTTGTCGCGAGCGTGTCCTTGAAACTTGAGTTCCAAGTGGCGTATACAACAGATTGTTTATTTACATCAAAACACGTGTTTCGTGTCATAGTAATATGGCCAAAATAAAAACAGCCGTTATTCAGCCATCTTTGATCTGATTATGAAACACACTGATATGTATGATGTATGTGCCAAATACGAATGAAAAAGGTACATAAATTGTGGAAATATAGTAGTAAGGCCAAAAAGTCAGATGGCTGTCAATCGGCCATCCTTGACCAGATTTTGAAACAAATTGTCATGGACATGCATCCTAACATGTATAAAGTACATGTATGTGCCAAATTTGAATGAAAACTGACAGAGCACATCCAAGATACCGCATAAAAAAACAAAAACAAGATGCCTGCCAGTCGACCATCTTTGATCCAATTGCGAAATAAATCGTCATGGACATGTATCCTAACATGTATAATCTATGTACCAAGTTTGAATGACAACTGACAAAGCATGTCCAAAATACAAAAAAAAACATTGTCAAAAAACAAGATGGCTGCCAGTCGGCCATCTTTGATCCAATTGTGAAATAAAGCATCATGGACATGTATCCTACTACTAGGCACATGCAATGAATGAACGGAATCGGTCCACAGGATTCTGAAATATGACCTTGGACAGACTGATGCACGAACAGACGGACACATGGACGATCGGACGGACAGACTCAGGAACTCACGGACAGTCGGGGACATGTATCCTAACATGTATGATCTATGTACTAAATTTGAATGAAAACTGACAAAGCATGTCCAAAATACAAAAAAAAACATTTTCAAAAAACAAGATGGCTGCCAGTTAGCCATCTTTGATCCAATTGTGAAATAAATCATCATGGACATGTATCCTAACATGTATAATCTATGTACCAAGTTTGAATGAAAACTGACAAAGCATGTCCAAAATACAACATTTTCAAAAAACAAGATGGCTGCCAGTCGGCCATTTTGAATCGATTCGCTAAACCACTGCATGTGCATATGTCCCACATAAAGTACTAGGCACATGCAAAGAATGAACGAAATCGGTCCAAGGGATTCTGAGATATGACTCCGGACGCACGGACGGACCGAGACCGAACGGGGACTAATAAATAGATGTTGCATAATAGGAAAAACCATGAACCCCATATAGAGTGATCTTTGAGGGCGCTCTTCTAGACTTCCATTTAACCAATTGAATGGTACAAACAAAATGTGTATCTATACATGTGTAACAACTCAGCAATGAAAATTACCAAATAATTTTTTTTTTAAATTAATAAACAATATTAATCAATTGCCCCTATATGCTGAAGTTATTTTAAACATACGGATAGCATATGTATGAATTCAAGAGCTGATCAAAAATCATCATTATATAACGCAATTAAAAATAAAAACAAAAATATGATGACAGATAAAACTTTTGAGTAAACAATCAATTATAAAATATATTTGTATTTTTCACCTTTTCCCAAAGTGTCGTGGGAATGGATTGTATGCCCTCACATTAAACTTATTAAGTTTAAATGGTCTCACAAAGGCATAGGGCTAGTCAATTTTATTCCAACCACTCTTGACAGAATCACAGTAATAATTCGATACTATACGATCACCAAATGGATCACACTAAGCAGTTTTAGTCAGGAATGTTAAGCAGATTATTTTGGGTGAGCATTAATAGTTGAATTTTTACAATAATTAAAATCAGCAAAAGAACCATGTGGTGAGAACAGTGGAGATTAAAATATAATCCAAACAACTGTGTTGGCTCTTTTCAAATGAAAATATTTTTCAACTTGTTTCATTGTTTGCGGTTCCAGACATTTTCAACAAAAGGCAATACGAGTGAAAAAAAAAAACATTAAAAAAACACATTTCTGATTGAAACGCATATGACAAGAACAAAAAAATATTTGTATTGAGCCTTATTCACAATGACTCTAAGTGGGACATGAGAACAATATCTCTGAAGCTGAAATGAGTCCATTTAATAACGCTTTCAGTAAAACACATCATTTTAACAGATTTCATCACTCAATACAGCATTTATAATAGGTTCACATATGTTCAAAAAGATTATAGACATTTACAATTCTACATAGTCACCCCTCAATGTAATTGTAATATATTTAACCTTTCACATAACCACCATTTATTTTCCCGCCAAAATAGCAACATACTTTTTTGCACGTTTCTTCTAATTTTCCAAAAGTTTAATCGTAATTTTGATCCAATAAGACAAAATTTTGACATTTTACATTTTGCTGTTGAAAAGAAATTTGAACAAGTTGATATATTTAACTGGACTACTTGGGAAATGTTGACATTTTTGACAAAGGCGAAGAAAAAAACTTAAAGGGCAATGGTCGTCACACCATGCAAAATTTGCTTTGGTGCTTTGGTAGAGAGTGATTTTCTGACAACCGAATACATTTTGATCATCTCGCAATGTTAACTATATACTGATTATGACTCTTTACAGTGTTTCAATACGTTCTAACCATCCCAGAAATTAATTAGTGTGTCTTTCATATGCATTGATCTGTATAATAAAGGAAGTCAACATCTTTGATAATATGGGACCATTCGCTAACAACCACATTTCTTACCTACGTACCATAACATAAACGCACATAATGTTTTCCATATTCATTCCAAAATATTGATCAATATCTGGAGTCAATTTAAAAGTATGAAGAATTTAATTTCAAAATTAACAAAGAAATTACAGAAACACATGTTGAACAATTTTGTGAGAATTTTGAGCATTTTATATTTAAAACAAAGGATCATATGCCGAATAATATTATCCCTGGATTTACCAAAGTTCATCCTGGTGTTAGGGATTTATAACGTGCATGTTGTACAGATTGAAAAATACATACCAAAACATTTTAAGCAATCTGTTCTCATCAACTTTGAATTTCAAAATCATGAAAATTTCAGCTCTATATTTCCTGTCTAAATTTTGGTACAAAATGTGAAAAGAAATTTTCAACCCAAATGAAAACATTTTCCCACTGGTGACAGATCATTAATTGTTGAAAACAAAGGTGACAAAAGTTAACTTTGGCGCTTGACGATTAAATGTATATCGAAAAATATGGTGATTTTCATTCTTTGTGATTATTACTTTTTCAATGTAAATTTGCATTAGTGTTTATTAACGTCTGCCATCATTTTGGCGATTTTTGTCATATTTCACCCAAAGGGGAAATCAAACATAGCATGTGCTATGACTGTGTGAGAGGACAAGAATTTAATCCCAATTTTATTCCTAAAACATTATTGAACAATTCTTGCTATACTGTGGTAACCTGATATTGTATACTCTGAAATTATCAGATAAAAAAAATACATAAAGACATTATCGATTTTCGTCCTCATATTTCTTTTAATTCGTCAGACTGGCAAAAAGCCCAGACAAATATTCCATATTTGTATCTCATGAAATTGAAACGCTTACAAAATATTTTATTGAAAACAATGATAGGAAAAGACAGATACATGTATATACTACACACATATATACACATAACTTTATCACAATTTACTGTACTTTTTTAAGAAAACTTTAATAAGGAGCTTTTTTGCAGAATTCTAAATATTCGTTACCATGACAATTATAGTCAGTTTTGACAATTGGGACTATGAAGGCGTTACTGAAATCAATATGAGTGAAAACAGCATTGATGTCCATAGTGTCCACTTGGCGTATTGATTTAATTATCAGTTTATTTAAAGATTAAAGGTGACTTCATTGCAGGAATTTATACCATCTACCGGTATATCAGTGGCAGAAATAACAAGAAACATTTGTTGAATAAACATGCTTCCCGTACAATCTGATCAACATAGAATTGCAATAAAAAATAATATGGAGACGAAAAGTTTCACTTTATCATAGATTTATGACCAATAATTGTCTATTATTTTAATATCAATCAGCAGAAATAATTTTTTATTTAATTTCTTCATTTTATACATACATTATCAGCCAAAGCCATTTGAATTGATTTAAAGCGGTGGGGGGGGGGGGGGGAGTCGTCACTTGCGCATGCGTCAGTTGGCCACAATGTGTCATTGATTACAA